AAGGGGATCGCAACCCTTGGCTTGGTGTCGCCCGCACCACGCTCAGCCAGTGAGCGCACCGGCCAGTCCTATATAGGATCCGAACCCGCAGCGGGAGTGTCGCTGCGTTCCCAGCGCTGCACTCTCCCGAGTGCGCCACGGGGCCGGCCCTGTAACTGTAATCTTGAAGAGCCTTATAAACACCAAATTCTGGTCTGTTTTATCTTTTTGCTGGAATACTCAAGACAGTGCCATGAAAAGGTAATCACTTAGTACTCTTGAAAATTACCAAACCCTTCAAAAAAAAGTATGTTTTTCTTGTTTTCTTAAATAGTATTCAAACAGCAAGATTTTTAAAAACTCCCTGAGCCCTTTTACTAACAGTACAATGCTTTAACAATTATGATATTTGAATAATCTCTCTGTCACTCCCTCCAACCACTGCCAACATGTTACTTTTAAGCAGTGGTTCTCCAAGTGTGGTCCCAGGACCAGCAGAAAGAGCACCACCTGAGAACTTGTTAGGGATGCAAATTCTCAAGCCCCACTTCAGACCTACTGACTCAGAAACTCCAGGGGTGCAGCCCAAGTAGTCTGTGTTTTCACGAGCCCTCCAGAGGATTCTAAGCACACTACAGTTTGAGGACTAGTGCTCTAATAAAATAATGGCTAACAGAGTGTGGTCTAAAGACTAATATGTGCCTTCTAGGTAATCAAAGCACTAAGTACTTGTCACATTTTATACTGACATCAGAAGTTCTCAGTAAAAGAATTCCTAACAGAAGTTCCCCTGGCTAGGTGCACATCAACATCACAAATTCTCTAATTCCCCAGTGTCATCACCTGAAATAAGAGGGGAGAATTTCTTTTCTAAAGATCAGGAGTTCACCTTTGCCCCATCTCACTTCCCCTGTAGTGATGTGTGTTCCCACAGAGCCCATTACACAGCTATTTCAAAATGCACCATCATCTTATTCTGGCTGTACAGGTGTCCAATCTCACCCAATTCGTTTGATGCTGGCTCAAAGCATCAGAAAACATTCTCTCTGCTTCTATTTCCAGAGGACAAGCTGCTCCTCTCGTCTTAAGCTTTTATTCATTCATTCACTCACAAAATATTTACTGAGCACAGAGTACGTGACAAGTGTTTCTTTAGGCGCTTGTGCAACAGCAATGTGCATGGAAGATAGTCCTACCACTACAGAAGGTCACAGTTACTGTCTGTCTGTCTTGTTCACACACTTTCCACCCACCAGCTCAAAGCTTGAGCGTGTTTTCAATTAGCTCCATGGTCTGCTGTGGGCCATGCTTCACAGGACAGCCTCCAGTGATGGACAAAGTAGGGGTTGGAGATGAAAGGGACTTGGGTGGAATCCTAGCTCTACCCAATCAGCTAGGACATTTGACAAGTTACTTTTCAGTTCTCCAAGTCTCCTTTGCCCCTCTGTAGAAAGGACACAATAGTAGCCATCTCCCACAGTTTTTACAAGGATTAAATGAGATAGAGTACAGAGCGTAACACCAAGCAGATGTTTAGTAAGTTCTACTTCTCTTTTCTTTCCCTGAAAAAGTAGGATCCTTTCCTGCTTGGGCCTGAAGCAGGTCCTCTAACTTTAGGTCAAATCTGTTTTCTTCATAACCATCTGGACTTTCATCTGGGTCAGTATTTCTCAGTGTGTGGTCTCCAGACCACCAACTTCAGAATCATCCCAACTGATAAAAATGCAGATGCCTGGGCCTCATCCCAGATTTGGGAGGGGAGTGGGGGAATGGAACAGGGAATCAGCTGCTTTAACAAGCTTACCAGGTGATTCTTTGCCAACTGAAGTCTGGGAACAACTGGTTTAGCTCCTCTGAACTACCTCCCCAAGCCTCTTGCTGCCTTTCTCAAAGGAAGCTCACAAAAGCTTACTAACTCTGCTCATCTTCCTCCCTTCACTCTTTTGAAGGTTATTCTTAAAGAGGAAGCAGAGTGTCACGGTTAAGAGGTCAAGCTCTAACACAAACAGGTTTGAGATCAAATCCCAGTTTTACCCCTTACCAATGGTTCTCCAAGAGCAGTCCCCCAGCAGCAGCATCACCTGGGAACTTGTTTGAGATGCAACTTCTTGGGCCCCACCCCTCTTGAATGGAATCAGAAACTCTAGGGGTGGGGTCCAGCCATCTGTGTTTTTTGTTTGTTTGTTTGTTTTTTAAATTAAATTTAATTTTATCAATATACAATGTAGTTGAATTTCGTGTCCCTTTACCGAATCCTCCCTCCCCCCTCCCTCTCCTCTCTCTATCAACATCATATCTGTTTGCTTGTCTTAACAAGTTCAAGGAATTGTGATTGTTGTCTTCCTTCCCCCCACCAGTTTATTTGTGTATTTATTTATTTGTTTTTAGCTCCCACAAATAAGTGAGAATGTGATATTTCTCTTTCTGTGCCTGATTCATTTCACTTAATATAATTCTCTCTAGCTCCATCCATGTTGTTGCAAATGGCAGTATTTCATTCTTTTTTATAACAGAGTATTATTCCATTGTGTCAATATGCCACATTTTCCATATCTACTCATCTGATGATGGACATTTGGGTGGGTTCCAACTCTTGACTATTGTAAATAGTGCTACAATAAACATTGGAGTACAGGTATCCCTTTGACATGATGATTTCCATTCCTCTGGGTACATTCCCAGCAGTGGGATAGCTGGGTCATATGGTAGATCTATCTATAATTGTTTGAGGAACCCCCAAACCATTTTCCATAAAGGTTGCACCATTTTGCAGTCTCACCAACATGTAGGAAGGTTCCTTTCCTCCACAAGCTCACCAGCATTTATCACTCAGTCTTTGTGATATTAGCCATCCTAACTGGAGTGAGATGGTATCTCAGTGTGGTTTTGATTTGCACTTCCCGAATGCTGAGTGATGTTGAGCATTTTTTCATGTGTCTGATGGCCATTAGTATATCTTCCTTTGAGAAATGCCTACTCAACTCCTTTGCCCATTTTTTAATTGTGTTACTTGTTTTTTTGCTGTAAAGTTGTTTGAGTTCCTTGTAATATTCTGGATATTAATCCTTAGTCAGATGTATATTTTGCAAATATTTTCTCCCACTCTGTTGGTTGTCTTTTAACTCTGCTAATTGTTTCTTTTGCTGTGCAGAAGCTTTTTAGTTTGATATAATCCCATTTATTTATTTTTTCCTTTGATTGCCTGTGCTTTTGGGATTGCATTCATGAAGTCTGTACCCAATCCTACTTCCTAGAGTGTTTCCCTATGTTTTCTTTAAGGAGTTTTATTGTTTCAGGGTGTATATTTAATTCTTCAATCCATTTTGAGTTGATTTTGGTATATGGTGAGAGGTATAGGTCTAGTTTCATTCCCTGCATATGGATATCCAGTTTTCCCAGCACCATTTACTGAAGAGGCAGTCTCTTCCACAATGTGTAGACTTGGTGCCTTTGTCAAAGATCAGATTGCTGCAAGTGTATGGGTTGATTTCTACATTCTCTATTCTATTCCATTGATCTATGTGTCTGTTTTTATGCCAGTACCATGCTGTTTTGGTTATTATAGCTTTGTACTATAGTTTAAAGTCAGGTTCAATGCAATCCCCATCAAAATTCCAATGACATTTTTCTCTGAATTGGAAAAAACTATCCTAACATTTATATGGAATAACAAAAGACCATGAATAGCCAAAGCAATTCTGAGCAAAAAAAAAAAATCCTGGAGGCATAACACTACCTGACTTTAAACTATACAGCCATCTGTGTTTTAACAAGCTCTCCAGGTGATTCTGATGCAGGCTAAAGAGTGAGAACCACTGCCACTTACTGGCTGAATGACCTTGTGCAGATTTACAACTTCTCTAAGCCTTCATTTCTTCATTTTATACTTGTAAAAGTACAAAAGTACTAACCACATAGACCTGAGATAGTAAAATGACATGACACATATAAAGACCTTAGTGCATAAGTAAGCATTTAAAAATATCCCTTATTATTATTAGGTAAACCATCCTTTGTCTCATTTTTCTTTTAAGTTTGGGTTGCTTGTTTTTGCAATGGTGAGTGGAAACCATTGTTATGGCATCTTAAATGGCTCAAAGTTTACCTGCTCAACTAGTCTTATTTTTCACTCCATCTCAATTAACTGGAACAATGCTCATTTACTCCTACACAGCTCTCGCTCTATGCCTTCACTATTTCTGTTCCACCTGCCCAGAATACCTTTCCATTTTCTGCCCACACAGTCCAAATCTTACTTCTCCCAAAAGGTCAGCTATGTTCTGCTCCCTCCCTGAAGTCTTGCCTAACTGCTCCAGGCCAAATGAATCTGCCCTTCTCTGAACTGCCAGTTATCATCTGTGTTGCAGAATTTAACCCTAAGTATATGCATGCATGCTACTTGTGGGTTTTATTTCATATTTTGTTGCCTTGTCTCTTTAATTATCATGAAAGCTCTTAGGAAACAGAGATGGTACCTTACAGTTCTTTTTAAATCTCTTCCCTATCGATCCTCTGGTATATGCTAAAGGAATGAATGAATGAACAAACTTCTAGAGCAGAGTCCAGTCTTTCTAAGGCACACTTGAAACTTTTTTTAAAATACAGGCTTTTAAGAATGGTAATGATTATAGTAGCTTAGGTTCGTATACACCTTCACGGCTTAAAAAATTCTTTGGTACTTTTAACCAAATCTAGTTACAAAAACCTTGTGGGGCAGGTTTCCTTGTCACTGTTTTGCACATGAGGAAACATTCAGATCTTTCTCATGACTTGTTCAAGGCTGTAGAACTAGCAAATGGCAAAGCTGGACCTCAAACTCCCGTATTCCACTGCATCTTTCACTTGGCTACTTTGCTTGGTCTAGTTTATCACTGTTAGTGTTTACCCTTCTTGCACTGTGCTATAATCTCTAAAGCCAACTCTCCAACTGAAAGCAAGTGCTATTCAAATAATGACGGGTCCTTCTGATACTTTAGATGTCAAGACAGGGTCCATGTGGGGAACAAGAAGTACAGCCTCACCTGGTGTTCCTAAGCGGGCCTGAGCAATGGTCAGTTTTTCATGGGGTGCTTGGCACTGACAGCTGGTTTCATCTGCAAATGGGGCAGGTGCAGTCAGGGTCTAGAAGGGAAAAAGAGAAAGGGAATACAGTCTGACAAACTTTCCTTTGGCACTAACATCCCCCTGAAGTTTTATTTCTGTTGGCTACACAGGTATGATTAAGAAATAGAATATATATGCTGAGTTTCTCAGAGAAATATTATACTGTGAGAAACACAGACAGGACATTGTCACTGAAAACTTTTTTAAACTGATGCTTCAGAAATAATCAAAGCTTTTTAGTGTCTGCTATATGCCAGGTACCAGATGAGGTACTCTGAATATGTTATTTCTTTTAGGCCTCACAACCCCCTATGATGGATAGATACTTCTATCCTTCTATAGTTTAGGATAATGCTATCCCTATTTCACAGAAAAGGAAACTGAGGCTCAGCAGGGTTAAGAAATATGCCAGGTCATGCCCTTGGAAAATCACAACACCAAGGTTTGAACATTTCACAACCAACAAGGTCAGTTTTCAAACATTTGACTCACCCACACCCGGGGTATTTGGCTGGAAGAAATGTCATACTCAGAAGCGTGGCACGACATCTCCTGTATTTCACACACACCAGCCTGGCCAATCACAAGCTCTGATGTCTCTTCACTGCAGAGGCCAAGGCTGTTTTCTGTGTCCTGGATGAGTCTAAAGCCCAGCAATTTGGGGGGGCTGCAGATAACTGCTCCTGTGGTAGCTTTAACAGCCATCAATGGCTGGAGGCCCCGCCCCAGGCAGCTTGGGCTGAGGCTCTGGGTAATGCTGTGAGAAAGATGTAGTCACTTGGAAGCCTGCCCAGGAAGTGGCCCTGCATTTTTTAGTCAGCCTCTTAAAATGAAAACCTCACTCTCTCCAGACAAAGGAAGACAAAGCAAGTAGTGTTTTGGTAAACAGGACAAATGCAATCCGGAGTTGTCCACTTATAACAGTCTTTACCACAGTTACTGCTATATCATCTGGTATTTTTAAAGGTGAAGTTGACTGGCCACTAGAAACATTACTCATAGTGCTGAATGAATTGTTTCTTAGGGAGGGAGACAGGTGTTCCTTAACTTGGGAAGACTCGACTGAAGAATGATCCATACATTTAAACAAGGGTTGGGACCCACTTCTGCCACTCATTCATTCATCCACTCACTCATTAGAATACATGTCAGGCACTACCTTAGAACCTGGGGATAGAAGTAGGGAGAAGAGCAGTCCCTGCCCTTGAGGAGCCCGTTCTCTGCACTAAGAACCAGTCCCTGCCCTTCCCCCATGTCCTTTCCTCATTGCAGCACCACCAACCTTGGAAGCAGAGTTCTGCCCCAGTGTTGTCTGAAGACCTCCCAGTTGCCTGAGACTTTCTTAACCCGCACCCTCTCCTACACGGCTGTGGAAGCAAAACAAGACTTGGGACGAGGATTCAGGAAACTTGAGTACATTACTGGTTCTTTTTTGGATACATTAAGGTGACTTTGTGGGCTATGGTGGACTAGAGCAGCATTTGTAGTGTAGCAAAGGGGTGCAGCAGCAAGAGCAGAAACTCCATAGCCACAAATCTGGGGTACAAATTTCCTTTCCAGCACTTATTGGCCATATATTCTAATTTGGCTCCTCTGGTTAAAAGAACTGACACTATAGTTAGCTCAAGAGATGAAGGATTTATTTTAAGGCTATCCTGGAACAGAAACTGCAGAAAAGGAAGAAAGGGGCAAAGCGTGGCCCCAGAGTGCCAGAGGCTGCTCTCTGCATGTGATTCTTTCTGTCCCACCCCCATTTATCCTATATCCTCCCACTGTATTAAAGTCTCTGCTTGCCTTCCATTCTCCTATAACTTCATCTTAAATATGACCTCCTCAGCCTCTGATTGCACCTTTCAGCCCCAGCTCCTGCTCCTACCAACTTACTGCTTCTTTCCATGTTTCTCAATTCAAATTCCTAAGGGAGAATCTAATTGGCCAAGCTCATCTTTTCAAATCAGGCCACAACCAAGACTGGCTGGTGTTGGGTCAGGCTCCCACCCTGGGGCTCAATAGAAGTAGTGATGGAAGTCATGGGTGGCCTATTGTTGCCACTTTAGCAGGAGCTACACTTGGGGCAAGAAATATTTGACGCTATATTATGATATAATAATAGATAATATAGTTCTCCACAGAAACAAGCAAATTGACTCATGAATGGACTTTTAGGACACAACTCAAATGGCTATACAGATTGGCAAATGGAATTAGCTTATACTAATGATTTATTGCCTTTTAATATATACGAACAGTTAATCTTTCTCACATGATCTAAAATAAATTACTATTTGGAGATCTTTTATGTGTTAGTCACAAAGTTTATTAAAGAGATAAGGTGTTGCCATTTTCTGAGAAAGGTGTATTCTAGAGAGTGTGAAATCTGGTAATTAAAGCAAAGATAGAGAAAGTTGTAAAGCAGCAATAGTTACTCAAAGGTGAAGAACAGATTTTATATGCACTGTGCATTTTTTTCTTAATTATTGTGGCACAGAAGTAGGAAAAAGAGAGGACCAAAGAGATAGCAGGCAGAGAGAATTCCTAAGTGCGTGAGTGTGCTTGTACGTGCATGTATGCACATGTGAGTGTCTTTAACAGCAGTTGACATGGAGGGGGGGATATATCTTGTTATGTACAAGGCACTGTGCTTGGAATGGGGTGAATGCAAAACTAAATGAGCCACAGCCTTGCTCTCCAGAACATTTCCTTCCAAAGCAAGGCAGAATACTCCCTGAGTTGAGAGTCAAGCTCTGTATTCAGGAAGACCTTGGTTAAAGCCCATCTACCACCAACTGGCCCTGTGACCTGAGGCAATATTTTTCAGTGCAAACACCCCAGATTACAATTTAAAAACTCCTTCTTCTATGAGCCAGAAAAAAATCATTTGATTTATAAGGAATTCTATGCTCCTGGGTTCTGCCTCCTTTACATACAAGGGGCAAACAGACTTCAGGACAATATAAGATGGCCAGAGGCTCCTGCGAGGGGCAGGGACTGGGCCAACCTGCAAGGAACCAAGGCCCCCATCTACTCCTCACCACTTGCCAAAGCTGGAATGCTTCCAGGGATCCTCAGGTCTAGGCCCTACATAAGACATAAAATTGAGGTCCAGAAAACATAACAGAAAAGCTAAATTTTTGAGTGCCTTCTTAGAGCCTCTATCTATATGCTAAGCACTTTAAACATATTTGTTCTGTTAATATGGACAACAACTTTGTGAGGTAGGTACTATCTCCACTGAACCATACAGTGACACCAAGTGACAGCAAGAAGCAACCACAGTGGTAGATCCCTAAGACTCAGTTACCTTTTTGGTTCCCTTTGAACTGAGGAAACCTTCAGGATTCTTAGACAATAGGGATGGAGAGACCTCAACAAGGAGATATCAGACTTCCTAGTAATTAGAGAAGGGTGGCAAACAACTAATTGAAGAAATAAAAGCATGTGACCATATTTTTATCCAGACTTAGTGAAGCAGGTCAGATGATTTACATGTAGTTACTGTTAAGCCTCAGCTTAGACTCTAAATCACCCAGATCACATTGTCTAGTGTTTATTAGCACATGCTATATGTTTAATATGATGCTAGATGTTTAGATGATGGATAAATGGAGGAGAGAAATAAGAAAGGAACAAAATTGGCTCTGGGACAGCAATCTTCCAAAGTGAAGGGTGGCCTTTTTAGAATGGCAGAAGGTATTAGTTTGAAAAAGCATGTTCAACTTGCAATAATTTCATATTTAGAAAAAACCTTCTCTTTTCAACATGCAAATCATAGCAACTAAGCTTCTGGACTGATGGAGATCATCAGAGGATAGACTACACACCCCTAGAGAGCCATATTCTAAATTCAGTGTTAAAGAGGCACATGAGATTTTTATGGTTAGCAGAAGAGAATGAGAATTTGAAAATGGTTAAAAAGCCCTGGCCCAGTTCCCTGGACTTCACATGTGCAAGGGCCTTGCCAGACCATGGACTTGGAGCTAGGCCACAATAAAACTTCTTTCTACCTAACTTAAGATTTTAGAACATCCAGTCATTGTATGTGAATATGTTGCCTATTTGCCAAAACACAAGTTCTGGTTATGGACCATAGTACCATACCAACGCCATATTGCCATCAGGCTTTTTAAAGGGGAAGACATCATATGTTGGGCATTTCATTTGCAGAATCTCTTCAATTGGACCTTGTCAAATATTTGCTTAAAACAAAAGCTATTAGGTACTATATAAAATATGCAATGCAGGTATTACTTGAGTGCAAAAAAATGGTTGATGGAACCTGTACTTATGTACGTCACTGACTGACAATCGGACCAATCAGACAAGCTAATCAATCAATCAGAACTTAGAACGTGGTACTGCTGATGGTGATAGCCAACCGCAGAGTTGCTTCTTTAAGCTAAGCTATTCTTTGTTTGTTTGTTTGTTTGTTTACAAGTTTATCATTTATTTTTAAATTCACCCTCAATTTTGAAATAAAATTTGAAGCAACATCCAAAGAAATATATTAAATAAATGTTTCAAGAACAGCACAGAACCATGTAGTCAGAAAAATTCAGATAAAATTGTAATTACAAGTTTCTTCTATTTCGTACCAACTTTTTTGCCTAAGATCAATTCCTAATATTTAGATCCACAAAGAACCTACTGTCTACTTGTAAAAACTCAAACTAAAGGATAATAATAAAATACACTCCATACTTATATTTACAAAAATAAGCATAGAGATCAATAAGATACTAGATAGCCTCAAAATAAACAAATATAGAAAGATTTATGATCATAAAGCAATAAAGAGAAAGTGTATTTTTTAAATAGTATGGTAACAATGACTTGATAACTTGAAAAAAAGTTTTTTCACTTATCACTTATTATATAACAAAGCAGATTAAGTGAAACATTTTCTAGGTCTCTAGTGAAGCAATACCTTCCTCAACTTAGAAGTAAATACAAAAGAAAAGAGCAAGAGCTTGTACTGCAAAATAATAATAGTTGTGTTTTTTTAAAGCAAAAGAGCAACA